TTACTGGAAAAGCCTGGAAATTTTAAGTTCTAATACTATAATGAATTCCTTTGCATTAGTGGAAATCTAACGCTGTCTATAAGGAACAGACTGAAGACGTTTGCTTGCCTGTTTATCTTGTAAAATGCCAAACATTAAATATGGGATTAGTGCTCAGCTTCTTATATGCAGCAACACAGCAGGGAGATTGTACTTAATGCTTTGTTGGGAGCGACAGCTACTTTCCTCTCATTTTTCAGTCTCATTCCTCCAAGGGACTTGTATCGTATGCACATACTTAACCTCATACCAACTGCCAATTTCCAGTTTTCTGTACCTGGTCCTCAGCTGACCTTTCCAGTCTAATGTTTGGAAACTGTATTTCATTCCCCTCTCCTAGATTGCCATCTTGTGCAGGATACAGGGCTTTAGGAAAAAAAAAAAAAGGTTCTCATCTTTGATGCATGTTCAACAGTTCGAGATAAAGTCTAGAGAGTAGCTACAGATAAGAAGAAAGGGTGTTATGTGTCCCCTTAATGTGGGAGACAGAGCTGACAGGAGAAAGTGAATGTACTGAGGCTGCAAATATATTATTTCTCCTAGAAATCCCAAACCAAATGAACTTATATCTGACCTGGAATACAGGCAGTATTGCATTGATGCTAGGTTACCCTCTGTGTTCTCTAGGAGAGAAATGGTGATTGTCCTCCTTGCACTGGTACTACCTTGCTAGAGCACCAAGCTCAACCCATAAATCCATGCACGTGCAGGACAAGTCAGAGGATGATACTTGTCTTATGTAACAAATCCAACATTTGTCCAGCCCTATTAAATATCCTATGCTTTTTTTTTTTTTTTAAGGATGTGATGCACGTGTTGCATCATAAAACATGTCAAATTGTCATTGCATAAAACATGTCAAATACTTGACATGTTTTACATACAACCTTCACTCTGAAATGTCCTCCCACCACTTTCTTTTAAGGATAGTGTAAGCTGATATGGTTAAAATCATTGCTATGTTACAGGTTTGCCCCTGCTCTGCAAGACTTCTCAAATATTCAGCATCCACTGAAGAAGCCCTATGGGAATTAATTCCTTTTGGCAGATACAGCATTCTTAAAGCATGAAGTAATCCACATGCTTTCTCTAGTGGTTACGTCTTGTCTCTGAGAAGCTTAGTGGTTTGTGCTGAGGACACAAAATTGGCAGAGTAACCCACTGTGTAGGCTGTAATATTTAAATTTTGTCTCTCAGTCATGTTAATGGGCCCTGTAATGGGACAGTGAGTTCCAGTAAATTAATAAAGCTGGAGACTGACTTGTCTGAATGTGTGGTTGTTGATGGGTAGGATAGGAAGCGTAAGTGATTGTCTACTTTTCTACACGATGACAGATTAGAAATAATGCTAGCTATTGCAGAGTTATGGTAATCTTTAGAGACCTGTTGTGCAACGCACCAATGGCAATCCTCAGACTTTTATCTCTTCGTGTTTATGCATGTTGCATGTATATGCACACGTTGAATAGAACAGGAGAATACATGCATATGTATGTCTGTGATTGAATAGTGGTGTTCAATTCCTTAGATTTTGGATGAGTATGTAGATAAATCTCTTCTTAAAAATCACCACAGCTGGAATCAGGCCTGATTAGGTGTTGAAAGGACGTGGCACCCAAAATAACTTCTTCCTCTTTGAAAAATGCAGATGAATATTCTGGCATCCATGGATGTTCAAGAATGCAAGTGAGCTCTCAATGATGGGTGTACATTTTATCCCTCTGCTGTTCTCTCATGTTTCCCTTTACCTTGGGCTGCGCAGTGTAACAAAAGTACTTTGGGGCTTGAAGTAAATCTAGAAAAAAAAATAATACATAGGATGCACTGACATTAGGTGTTTTTTTTTCAGCATATGGCAAATTATTCCTAGAGAATTAGAATGACTTTTCACAAAGAGAATCTGGTAAAAAGAAACAATTGTCAGTAAAATCTTGTGTGGGAAGATTTTGCTTTTGTTCTTGATGTTGGAGATTGGACTGTATTGCCAGTGTTCTGGGCTGCAAATAATTTTATACAGGTTTTAAAATGGGTGAGTGCTTTCTGGAAAAAGGAATGAAATAACCTCCAGCAGAGGCTGCTCCAACACGGCTCCTTGGAAGTCCCTCCTTGGGAGGCAGCAGTTTGCTTGGTGCCCTGCTCGGGTTTTTATTCCCCAAGCTGCAGTCTCAGTGCAGGATTTAGGGCAATCTCTCTTCTATCCCTGTTCCCCGACCCCATTTTTGTTGCTGTTTGTTTGTGTTAGGAGTTGGATGTTGATTTTTCCCTGAGACTACTGTGTACAAGGTGCAAAGGGAATAAACATCTCTTTCCACTTCCCCTGCACTGCTCTGAACTCCCCCATCTGCTACTTCTGTGAAATATTACATCCCAGGTCCAGGAAAGATCGTTTTGTCAGTAGTCCTTTTCCTGCTAATAGGCTCCTGAGACTACATGGAAAATTCCAACAAGCCCTATTTTGTCATGTACCTAGCAACTCCCAGACGTTGTCAGAGGCTTGTTATCTACTTGCACAGTTCTTGCTTCTGTAAATGGCAAGCATTTGCTTATGCAAAGCCCTTAAAAAATTTCCAGAAATTCTGTGTGTGTACAAGATTATGAAGCTGGTTGCAAGAAGAAAAACAGGTGCTTGGGGTAGTACTGTGTTTGGACAGAGAGAGACTCAAATATGAGGTCATGTCTTGATTTGTGTTTCAGAGATGCAGTTCAGTCTCAGCTTAAAGGTTTGCATAAAGCTTTTGTCTAACTCGCTGGTTTTCTCCATCTGAATCCCTCGTTGATGACAGAGTTTAATGAAAAATTACTATACTTAGTTTTGTCTGACTGGTTGACTGAACCTTTCCTTTATGCAAATGAAAATTGACGAAAATAAGAGAAATGAAATTTAAATGACTGACAGCCATCCTAACAAAAACAATTAAACAACAGTGGCCAGTCCTTTGGGAAGGCTAGATTTCATCCTACTTCAGCATGATCCACACATTTCTAAGGCTTTTGTTATTTTTTTCCTAGCTCTGTGGCCCTGGCATTTCTAAGAGTGCCTAAAGAACCTGAGAGCTTCTCAGCTGCATTACATCTTTTCCTGCCCACTGGCTGTCAACATATCCTGATTGGTTGCAGATAAACAGATTGCACCTGAATATGAAATTGCTGCCTGGCGGAATTCACCCAAATTCTGCTAACCAGATAGTAGTGTCTACCTTCTTCATATAAGAAGCGGTCTCTACCTTTGGCTGCTAAAACAGGCTGTCAGCAAGCCACTGCTCTGCTGCAGAACAGCACAGGTGATAGGAGGTACTTGATCCTGCATGTGCCCCTCCTGACAGAGACCAAGATCCTGAATTTAATAGCTGCCTTGCACAGGATTTCTGCATAGTCGGCAAAGAGGGAAGGGCATTTCTATATTCAGTTTTAGTCCCCTGGGGGTGGCTTTCTCTGTTACAGCTAAAGAGTTTTGAAAAGGATGAGGTGTGTCCAAGGTTCAGTTTTAGAAAATCTAATCATTTAGAGGAGAGAGGAACAGATTTACGTTGCTTCATGCCAGATATTTCCTTTCAGTCTTCTGAGATATTTCTACTTTAGCTTGTTCTTACACTGTGTTTATACAGAATGTACAGAAAGACTATTTAGAAAGCACGCCAAAAGCTGGGATAGTGCAGAAGCTCATACTGTTCTCTCTATATCTCTTGCATGAATCTTATGACATCTGTCCAACTGTCTGGTAATTCAAACTTTCAGGAAGAAAGAGCAGGTACTGAATAGATCTTGACTCTTTGCTGTTCTTGATTTAACATAAACCTTCTGGTAGATCTGGATCTAATTCCCATGTGAAAGTTCAAAGAAAATAAATGTCAGTGTGCTTTGCGTATCTCTTAGATACAATAAATAAAGAAAACTCATTCCAGATGATCTGAACAAGTAGAGAACATCATAGTCTTAATTTTCAGTTGATCCCAAGAAGACTGTAAATGTTGGGTAGCTACTTGTGTCTGTATCTAATGGGAATGTAAGAACAGATTGTGTAAAGACAGGTTGTTAATACGTACTTCAAAGAACAAATTCTGAAGAGTCTGGGGACCAGTGAAGCAGAAAAGCTACATCCTACCGAGAGACATAGCCATCACTTGTCTGGAAGATCGCATTTAAAATCTAGATAAATCTGTGTTTATTTTTTGGCAACACCTTGGCTAACTCAGCTAAAAACTGCTAATGTGCAATTGGATGCAGAGCACGCAGTAATTTCATAACTGTAGCAACTTTTTTTTCCCCTCTTTCAAACATTTATGATTTAAGTAAGACGGAAGTTTTCATCCTCAGAGTAGAGGATGTAGGGACATTAACAGCAAGATACGCAAGAATATTACTTGGTGGTTTCTGAGAAAAACTCTTCCTCACAGCTTTGAAGGATAGGGGACAGGGGAAATTTGCTGATACTTTGTTGTCATAAATTGTATTAAATTTCAATAGATTTTCTTCAGTGAATATTAATAAGCAGAAAAATGTAAGAAGGATTTTCTAGTGCAAGGTTATCTTGATTGAAGATCATTTTATCAAACCTTGGTACACTTTGTTAGCTTCATCTGTTTTTTTAGACAAGTAAATAAGCTAAAGATGCATATTTTTTTTCATTATTTCTGTACTATTTATGCTGAAGGTAGGAGAACAGATGTGGTGTCCAGGATTGTGCATTTACACAAAGATTTCATTTTGCTCACGTGTTCTGATAATAACTATGAAAATGTCGAGATGGCCATAGCATGAAATAATACAGTTAAAAGAAAATTAGCACACAGGGTAACACAACTGACTTAAAATTGGTATGTAGCTTGTCTTTTTTTGCCTCTTAATATGAGTGCAGACATCCAACTCAGATATAGGTGCCTTCTTTGTACAGGTTATTCCTCTCTTCTTGTGTCTTTTATTGTAATTCAGAATAATAATTGAGAGTATAATTGTGCTTGCAGGTTGGTCAGGACAAAGGAAACTGCTCTTTTCACAGAAACCGCAGTCCTTGTGTTGTTCCTCAAGAGAATGAAAATATTTTCCACACAATATTTGCTTTTTTCACAAAGTCTGGCAGAAAAGTATTGGTAAGTCCACCCATGACAAATTTAAACATACAGTGCATATTACAAAAGGTTTTGCAAAGATCAGCATGAAGAACTCTAGCATTAAGTTGACTAGAGCAGCTGCTGTGTGTAAGCTAATACTGATGTGGGGGGATACCTAGTTATGTTTGGGATATCTAGTGATTTTAATTATATGATTTTTAAATAGATAGAAGGAAGGGGAGGTATCTGAAGTGGCAGAGTGCAACTGGAACAAGGGCTCTGGTTACCCATACTTTGCTGAAGGCAGGTGGGACTGCAGGGCCCTGTGCCATGCTCAGAGCCTGCCTTGGATCTTAGATGCTGCAATTAATCTGCCTTGCTTTCATGCAGGTTTTGATACCTAGCTGTCTTCAATCTTGAAAGCTGCTGCAATTTCAATGCAGGAGACCTAGTTTTTAGCAGCTTACCATGCCTCTTTTAGTCATAGAATCGTAGAATATTCCGAGTGTGAAGGGACCCACAAGGACCATTGAGTCCAGTCAGCCGGAGTGTTTGCAGTCACACAGTTTTCAGTGATTTTCTCCTTTGCCTAACAGCTTTTTCCATATTTTCTGTAGGACTGTGAAAGACCAGGGAGGTCCTGCTTGATTATACACTGCAACTTAAGTTCACTAGCAAAAGCAGAGTCTTGTGATATAAGTATTTACACGCTGCTGAACACAGAAATACTGAAGAAGGTATGTGCTTCCTTCATTGTTTGTCTTAAATACCAACTCAAGTATGCTTATGTGCATCAGCAGACTTGAGATGTGTATTCTTCTTTCTGTTTACTAGTGTGTTATAAAAAAAAATATCACAGTGTCAAAGAATACAGATCTATTTATCAACAGTGTGCATGGAGGTGTTAATCCTAGTTCTTAGCCATTACCCATTATACAGAAATAAATTAAGTTCAGAAATTTATACATTGAGAAACAACAAATTAGGTCCTTAATTGTATGCATGGTGTTAAGGCTAGGGAATTCTGAAAGTTGAATTGATTTCTGAAAGTTATCATTCTGAAAAACGAGAAGTAGACTAAGTGCATGTAAACTGTGACAAACTATCTATCATTCCCTCTGTGTAAACAGCGATGTGGCATTTTTTTTGTAATTTTTTTACTTCAAATGATTATTATTCAAAGAAGATGCATCATAACCATATTAATGCTGAGCTTGATGTTTGTGACAAGAAACAAATGGTTGCAAGTTGATTCCTGTCTTCTGTGAAGCCACTGAATGAAATAGCAAATCTTTAAAATTTCTAGTGATGTACTACATTGGCCCTGTTTTCCTATACTTAGAAAAATGCTGAATATGTAGCTATGGCAAGATGTTGTGAAATTATTAGCATACAAGAGAATCAGAGGAGAAAGCTGATAATATGAACCTACGAAAGTAAACCTGTCTTTGATAGCAGCTAGATTAAAAGCATTGGAGGGACTCCTTATTAGAGAGCAGTTTCTAAAGCAATACATAGCTCTGAGTTTTTCCAGCTGAAACCAACCATGTCTTCTGATTTTTGTTCATATTTGAAAGCAGAAGATAGAAGAAAGGCGAGAAGTTTCAGGTATTTGTTAGCATGTAGCGTGGAAAATGTGCTTCTGGGGAGTTCAGTCCTAGGAATAGCAAGAATTCATTCCACCTTTAAAAGACATACAAAGCTTACCCATGTTTTTTGGATCAGTATCACCAACACATGCCATTTGCTACCTATCATTTACCCTCCCCAGGGTGAACAGCATTTGAATGACTAACCTATGAATTAAAATATTTTTTGAATGTGTCTGCTAAAATTCAATGAGTAAAATATAAGCGAAACATATATTAATATGGGGAGATATACATTGAATATTTAAGGTATTTGCAGTGCAGAAATTCAAATAATTAAGTAGTTTTCATCTTGGGTTATATTTGAGTCTATCCCAGCTTTCATGTATGTTTTTCCTGTTCATTTGAAAAACAAATAGAACTTTTGTTTGGTGGTTAATATTGAACTTGTCTGTAGTAATTGGCAATGTTCTGTCTTTTGCTTTTGTGGTAAAAATGGGAAACAAACAAACAAAAAAACAACAGCCAAATATGTATGATGTGTTTAAAGTTCAAATATGAATTTTATGTTTAAAGTCCAATATACCTCATTTTATTCCAACCTCACATAATGTGCTTTGCTGTCTATAACTGTACTTAACTCTCAACTCCACCTATGCTGCATGTTATCTCTATGTATTTATCACACTGGAAAATGTTTGATGTTTTTCTTTTGAGGTCTCTTGATGGTCCCCTCCACCCCACCCCAAATGCAGTTCTTCTTGTTCTTTCTTTTCAGGACAGTTCATCAGTCATTCAGTTTGTCACAAGGGCAAGGGTGCAGGTGGACCCTGACCTCAGGGTTGTAGAGGTGCCCAATGGGAGTCCAGAAGAAAAGCCAGTAAGTAAATGAGCCAGAAGAGAAAGGTTTTCTGATTCCAGTGGGCTGGGTATCATTAATAGCACTATGCAAACTGGAATTTGCATCTGGGCATGGGCTTGGCTAGCCAGTGAGAGAGCCCAGATTTTGTCTGGATAGACTAACAGTGCAGCTAACCTTGCCTCTGTGGTTTTGTTCACTGTGATAACCATGATATTGTGAATGATGTTACATGGGGTAAGAGAATCTGTGTTGTACTAGCCAAAATTGTAATAGCCTGTGAGGAATTTGTGCCAAAATTAGGTTTAACTTCCTGCTCTGAGGTTGACATCTGCTTTAATCTAGTTCAGATTTTTACTGAAAAACTACTAGAGTCTTAAAACCCCAGCAAAGCTTTTTCAGATGTGCCAACAGAAAATATTTAGAAGTGTTAATGATATTTTGGGAGCTGTGAAAATGGGCAAGGAGGGCTAAATTTACAGAGATTCATTTAACTGTTCCTTTGTGCTGAGCTGGTGGAATTCATGTACAACCTGATACTGCATTTTGTGTTAATCTGCATGAAGCTCAATTGAAAATCGAAGGGGAAATATTGAAGTTCAAGGTGAATTCACTTTGTAGTTTTGGCTGCAAGTAAAGCTCTACAGGGCCATATTGATTCTTATGGTGAAGAAGAATAAAGTGATGAGTTTGGTTTCCTACTACCAAGTTGCCTAATGCTTATGCATGAAAATTAGACAGAGGGCCATACTCAAATTTCTCTTTCTCTTTGCCTGGTGAAATTTTAAAGTTCAATTTCCTATTTCTATCTCACACGAGGATCAAATTCAATTTTTCCTCTTACTGTGTATTCTTGAAACATAATCTAGGTCCCACCTCTCAGTTATCCTCTTACTCTCTGTGACTGTCATCACCACCAACTCATACAACCATTCTCTCATAGGCTTCATTTCAGTGAGTCCTGTTGAGGTTTTAGTATGAGAATACTGAGTTCAAACCACTTTTGAAAGAAACCAACATGCTGTATTAGAGCACTCATCTAGGAGACCCTGGATTTTAAACACCAAAGGCAAAGAAAGAATTGAGCCTGCATATTACTACGTTCAGTCTGAAATCAGAGACACTGCTACAGTGACCACTTTCACCATCATCATGTCTGCAACCCTAGATTTTTTCACATTTCTTTTTTTAACCTTTGATTTTATTAGAACTGTCAGGGAGGAATAAAAGTCTTTTATATGACAGGACCCCATTTTCTCTTTATGTTTTATTTATTTTTTTGTCAGGTTTCTGGATCATTCTAAAGAACACTGAAAAAAATAGGCTTGGCAGCTGACCTGAAAAATATATCTAGCCTTCCCTGGGAATGTGCCTTATAAATGACCTGCAGCCTTGACTGCTAATGCATTGCTAGATATCTCTTTAGTTCTGCAGCTAGCACAATCTTGAAAATTTATGGCAAAACTTCATTAATGACTGAGTTAACACTTGACTGTGATACCCATGCACCCGTTGAAGTAGGAGAAACCAAGATGTCTCTGCCAGATATTTTGATTTGTAAATGGTTTTGGAATGTCAAAATGATAACTGCAGTGTCAAATGTGTGGGATTGCTATTTAATGTTCAATATTTAGAAATGCTTTTATCCAGGTATACAAGCTCTGCTGTATGTTGTTGTTATCTAACGCTTGGAGGAAAAAAATAAAAACCACAACATTGTCCTTTTCCTGTTCCTGGAAAGCCTTTCATCAAGCCTTGAGTTGCAATGATTATGAAGTATGCTGTATGTGCTGGGAAGCTAGATGAATTTTCACACAAGAGCTTGCTCCTAGTTCCTGGGAAGCCCAAGCTGTAAAGTAGCATGCTTGAGATCTTGTAGCCATGTAACATCAATTTGTAATTTAAAGTCTTTTCTAATGTGAGTGCTATTTGCTTTCTCCTTTATGCTATTTCCATATGTCTATTGGCTTCTCTATTGCTGTGTGTTTTGCATACAGTTATGTTAAGGGAAAAAATTTACACATGTGGTTTGGCTCAAGGTATTCATTTTTTTCCCTGCTCTTTTTTCTTGTGGAATGCAGAAGGGAGCAATACTTGTTGCAAGCCACAGCTATTCCACTGGAAGTAGAAACAGGAGAGAGAAAATGTCTTTGTTCATATTCCTCCCTTCCTTTTTAAAATCCCGTTATGTTTTCTTTTCATTGACCACAGACTGCTGTACCATATCCATTTGGATAGTAGCTCCTTCTGAACAATTGTGCATAGATTTACTTTGAGTCTGTTCATGAAAGTGTTCCGTAACAGTGAAACACTTTATCATGGTAAATTTGAAAAGGTCTCTCTGCTGTCTACAACTAAACATAGACTTATTAAACCTATTTAATCTGTCCTTTAGAACAAGCTGCCCTTACTTCACTGGGCACTTTTACAATTTAGTGTATAATACCAGAGTGCAAAATATCTATATAGAAGACAAAATGAGAAGGATGATAGAAGGAAATGCTAGTTTAAGAAGTGCCAGTGGTGGCAGGACCACCCATATAAATATCAGCATTGTCATGAACTCCAGTACCCTATTTTTAAGGGAGATGCAAAAGCTTATGTAAATATCTGTAAGTTGGGTACCAGGCAGTCTTTGAAATGAAACATTCAGAAATAATTTCTGTGGATTTAGATATGGTTTGATGTGATTTGGGATAATTTATTTTCTCTCTCTGTTTACATTAGACTACTTAAACTCATACTGGATAAGTCACATGAAGGTGAACAGAGTACAGATATCTCTTTGTGATGACAGCTGTATTAACACAAGTATACATGTACATGTATATTGGCTGAAACTGATGCATGACGCGTTCAGGAGACACGCTTTCTTTTCTTAAGCATTTGGGTTTCCATGAAGGTTTGGCTTTCTTCTTCTGTGCATGTGAGGCAAAACCAACGATAAGTTCCATGAGACCACAGTGGTCAAATACCAGATCCAAGGGTTCACGTCCTGTGTGCTCTGCATTTGTGCAGGAGTGCTCTTCTGAAGCAGAACGACTGCCTTCTGTGAATGCTGGTGTGAAGGGATGATGAAGAGACTGGACTTCGCTATGTCCAAACCTGGCAAATACCTCCAAGTGTCTGTTGTCAAAGTGAGGGATGCAAAGCTGAGTAAATGAAGGGAGAGCCCCAACTAAAATGCACGCAGTTCCTGCGGCAAAATGCCCTTTAAAAAGCTGCAGGTTCCCTGCTGCTGATTTAAGCTGTCTAGTTTTAAGCTCAGCACATGTACATTTCATTAAGCCTTTGAACTGTTCTCTCCTCCTGGGTAATGTTCACTGTTCTCTCATTTTCTGACCAGTCACCCCATGATTAATGCAACACATGCAAGCATTTTTTTGTTCAGGATTTATGTTTGCGACAATGTGCAAATATATTTGACAGAAAACAGCAAAAACAAAAAACGATAAAATCAAAGTTTATTGCATGAAGAACTACAGGGTGTTCTGAGAGGTCTTTATATGCATAAATATATATGCAGAGTGATTTAAAGGCATATTTCCAAGCATTAGCTGGTAGGCAGCTTTAGCTGTCTACCTGCGACTGAACTTGGAAGACTCCTACCATTGGCCTGTTACCCATGTTGGGGTCAGAAGGAGCAGGCTGTGGTACTCTGCCTGAACCTGGATGGGATATCCTAGCCTTTTTTAAAGCACGTGGAAATACCTCTTCTTCTCAGCAATCCCAATCCACTACCCTCACCCCCTTGCCTTTTAGACGTACTGAGCATTTTAGGCACCTGTTCTCTCCAGCTTACCTTTGAGATGGATAGAGCTTCCTCCTACCTAGCCTGGCTGAAGCCAGATGTGAGCCTTTTCCAGAAGCTGCGAAGCCCCCTTTCTAGCAGGTTATTTGTAGCCTTTTTGTTTTCACTGGGCTTGGTTTTTGTTTTCTTGTTTTACCTTTCCATCTGCTACTGTAACAATCCCTTTAGAGATTGTTTTGTCTTAACTGTGCAGTCTAGCAGGTTGAAACACAGAGTTGAGTAAAGGAACAGAACTATACAGAAAAACAACATACAGAAAATTTCATGGTGTTAGACACAAACAGGTAGAAAGGATACTTCAGGTCTGTATTCCTCAAGAGCTTCCAACTTTTTTGTTAGTAAATGTAAGTATTTATAGATAACACATACTATAGATATGATGTGCATATACACATATGGATGGATATGTGTGAGAATTATATCTTTACTGGAAGTCCCCTCAAGTATAATGGCACTTGAATAGACTAGTCTGGCAGCAGTGCAGCGTGGTTTGAAACACCAGAAATATTTTGGGTGATAACACAGAAATAAAATAGTGTTTTTGATAAACTCAGGCCTTTCCTGGTGCTGGGCTTCATGACACAAACACATAAAATTCAAGTAGTGTGGATAAGCAAAAAATAAATGCTTTTTAGCAGGGAGAAAGGAACATTTTACAATTACTCATTTCTAACCAAATTTTGCTGAGTTATGTTTCTTGTCTTCCTGACTCCCAGTGCAACAACATGCTCCTATTCTGCTAAGGGCTTAAGCATAGTATGAGCTTCAGGTATTTGTGGATTTCCTGATCAGTTAGGTTGTAAAGCTCTTGCCTACATACTTTACTGAAATAAGACACTAAAAACATATCTGATCCTTTTTGATTTATTCACTATCAGAATATAACAAGTGATTGGCACCGGTAGAAGATGCCCTTGTCCATACACATTCAACCTTTCAGAAGTCGCTGGTAGGGTACAGTTCTCCATTAATTTACAGCAGGGCAATTATATTGTGTAAAACTTGATTAACACTTGAGCTATGTACAGCTAAAAGGCAGTCTAAGCTGCCTCCCAGGCTTTCCTGCTTTCAGATCCCACTAATACAGCATGAAATGCAAATGATAAATATGAAACTAAAACTCCTCATACATTGTCAAGACAACTGTGTTTTTTTGTGGCCTTTCCCTCATGTTTGGTCAGAGGCTGAAAACAAGCCTACAATCCACTCCATATTTTATGGCTGTTGCATGTACTTTCTCCAAACCAGGCAGCTACTGCCCCTACTGCCCTCTCTCAGATGCTTTTTCACACACAACCCCTTATCTTCTGCATCAGTCCCTGTTATCACTCCCATCTTCTCCACAAGTCATGGCTGTGGGATGTGCACTGAGCTGGGCACTGCCTTGTGCTCCCTGCCCTGTCGTCTGCCCCACAGGGGCTGTGCTGCTGGAGTGGCTGGGATGAGGAGGCCAAGTTTGCCCAAGGCTTGCTTTCAGAGGCTGTGCAACGGTCCACAGGTCCAATGCCAGGCAGTGGCTTGTGCATTTCTTTTTGGTGACATCACCCTCTCTGCCTTCAACCTCCTCCTCTCCAGGATGACTTGCTTCCCTCCCTTCCACCACTTTTCGTACTGATTCTTCCCTGACACTTCCAACGTGTGATGAACACAAACCAGATGCTCCCAGTCTGGTTTGTCTGGGGCTTGGTTGGTTGGTTGGTTTTGTTCATTTTTGGTTTTGGGGTGTTTTTTGGCTGCTTTGTTTTGTTTGCTTCTTCAGCAAAGGTCATTGCTGTGACTGCATATTAATGCAGGCAGTTTTTGATGGCTTGAGAGGGATAAGGACATTAAAATGCATGACATCTTTGCTCCTTTCCAAACCACAAAGCCATGAACAAGGTATTTTTCATGCCTGTCAGTTGGTTCCAGACTGCAAGAAGGCAAACTGATAAGAAGCTGTTGTTACTCTCTACTCTCTCAGTTACGATAGCTTGATCTATGACTGCATAAGACAGAGCCAAGCTATTCTAGCCAGTGCACTTCAAACCCCAGATGTGGGGCTTTTGATATAGAGATGATGTATGATTTGCTCATTCCAGCTCTTACTGTCTCTTTTGGCAGCACAAGGTACAGGTCTACTGTGCTACAAGTTGTGTTATGTTAACATTTACTCTCCAAGTAGTGGAGAGAAGACACCACCTCATCTTGCATCCAGTGACTGTTTAAAAGGTCTCCTTTCACTGAAGATGACAGTGCCTAATGTGTTAGAAGTTTATTGGTTTTTTGTTTTGTTTTGTTTTTGTTTTTGTTTTTTTTCTTTTAGTGTCCTAAAGGAAAATAACATTATTGCCTTATTATCTAAGAAATAGTCATCTGACTTGTCTCTGCAAGATGGATGCTAACCATAGCCTCTGTGACAAATGGACTGCCACATCAGATCATCTTTACAAGCTGGCTCAGAAATAGGGAGAAGGCACAAGACTTGTCTTTGGTCTCTCTGTCTGGTATTTCCCTTACATGTCTTGGCTCTGATGGAGACTGCTGCCTAGGAAACTTTCTCTGTTCAGTAAGATATCTTAAAAAGCTTGACAAAGGCTTTGTGCTGATGTATGAAATGCTAAAATGATTCTTTTTCTCAGAGAGCTGGTCCATGTTTGAGAGCTATTTTGAGCATTGCAGTACTGGTTATAGCAACATGTTTGGAAAATGCTATCTATGTATAGTAGCAATCCTGTCTATTTGTTGTTTTCATTTCTTGTTGTCATCATATATCTGACAATATCTCATTGACAGAAAAAACAGTGAATGTGAATCAGCTATATTGAAATTCCTCCACCAGGAAAGTTGTGGTCTTAATCCATGTTAGTCTGTGAAACTGAGATCAAGTATCTTTATGAGTACTTCTTTATGGGAGCACCATGACAAAATGTAGCCCAATCCATTTGTTTCTGTCACACCTGTGCCTTTAATTTTTGTGGGTGTTTGCTGAAGCTGGGTATGCTTATGGAAACAGAGAAATGTCTGTTAGAAGGACCTCTGAGGGGCCATCTTCTCCCATTTCCCCTTCAAACCAGGACTGTTGCCCACAGCAGCTCAGGATCCCCATGGCTTTGCCTGAACCTTCGAAACCTATAAGGATGGAGAACCCAGAGCCTTGTTGCGGCCTCTTCCAACTTGGGGTTGCGTAACTGTGTCTGACTCTAACTCCTGGATTTTCATGTGCTTTTAACTATTTTTTTTGTTTTGTTTTGTTTAAAAGATTGATTTAATGATTCCTATCTGTGAAAGAGTTTGGATGTTATTTAGCAAAGATGAGGTTTGTGAAGGAGGGAGGAAAACTCACTACGTTACCTTCCAAAGCAAATCAAACCAAAGCCAGATAAAGCAAACATGTACTACCTTTAAAAAAGATTGCCTCTCTGCATTTGTTGGATATTAAATTGCAAAATTTAACAAAGAAATAGCCAACACTGAAGAGAACTCTTTTTGAGTTCTCCACTGAGGAGCTGATTTTGATTGAAACAAGAGACTGGAAATTCACACAGTGTATACATTTGGTATAATCTGCTCCCATTTTCTTCTTAGAGCAGGCAGTTAAGGAGAGCACTTTGTAGGATGTGTTTCCCTGTCATACATGCTGTACAAAAAGAGAGAAGAGAACAGCAGGGGACTGCTCTTTGCATTCGCAGAAGAACTCATAATTACACGTGCCCTTCTATCTTTCCTACAATGCATCTTGTGAAGCACAGCAGGGACTATACATATTCAATAGGGATATATGCAAGTTGTCCTAATTTTTCTGTGAAAAAAGTTAACACGCTTAGCATACATGAGTGTTTCATGTGAAGCATTGGGGCGTTTTGTGGGGCTGGGAACCCCAAAATTATGATAATTAAGGCAGACCCTGCAAGGTGTCAAGTCAATCCCTGCCACTCCAGGGCTTGCTGTTTTTCATGCAAAACTTTGTGCACTTATGGTGGCCCAGCACCAGAAAAAACTCAGTGCCTGGAATGGGATAGAAGAGCTGGAAGAATAAGGGTTGTTTTGGAGAAGGCTCTGATACCCTTTGAATTGAGCACATGGCTACTTAAATTCCACTTGAAAGCTTTAAATCCCTGCAAAAAATAGACAGAAAGCATGAAATTAAGGGCACGTTCCATATTTGTTTGACAGACGAAATATGATCAGTGAGGCCACCATCCAATATATTTAATAAGATGAGTACAAGAGAAAACAATGCAAGTTCCAATCATAAAAATATCTTTTTCTAATTGCTTTGTAGGTGGTCTTTGAGGCTCTACACAATCTGGAGCCTCGTGGGTATGTTGTCGGATGGATCATTGCCATCAGTTTGCTGGTGGGAATTCTCATCTTCCTGTTGCTGGCTGTGCTGTTATGGAAGGTAAGGTAACAGATGCAGTATAAACACTGAGGCTAGTCCTAGGAAAAAAGCTCGAATTTGTCCATGCATTTAATATCCATTTGCTTTTGGAACTGAATAATTGTCCACTCCATTACCGAAGTTGTCTGCCAGCAAAAATACTTTCATATTGAGGCTTTTGTGAGGGACAGGGATAAACTCCTCGTGTAGAGAAGTGGAAAAGTGGATTCTTTGGGGCTTGAATATTAAAACTTAAAACCTCCACTACAGTTTCAAAATGGAGGAGGATTCCTCTAGAAAACTGCTGTTATCTCACACTCAGATATATGGTACATCTCCATGGTTTTCTGATGACTGAGGCACACTGATTTCAACAGGGTTTCCTGAAAATCAGGTCAGTTTTGCTTTACCAGCTAAAACATTGGGTGCATGCCTAGCGAGAACCACTTTGTAGCTACTGCTTTCAAGAGGTAAAGGCCTGGGGGAGAGCAGCATCTAAGAATAATTCTTTTAGATTTCTCAGAGAAAGAGTTCCAGATGAGTAAAATGCATTACCAGAGCAAAAAGTGCCAGGACCTGTTAAAGCCAACCTTCACACAATCTCTGATAAGATATAATTCTTGTACCCAGACACGGTTACATGGCAAAGCTGGGCCGATGCTGACGCTCAGGAACAGCCATCTGGTGTGGAAAGTATAAAGGCTAAGGAGCTTCGAGTGTTTTCATTCCTCAGTTCCGTCTTACCAACCCATAAATTTAAAAGGTCATGGTCAAGGTCAGGGACTGTCTTTGAGAGAAGTAAATCTTGAATGCACACATGGGAACAAGTCCAACCCTAGTTTGCTTCCCGTGGCGGAGGTCCAGGAGCCCAGTTCACACTGTTGTGCAGCATGTGTGCTGCAGGCTTTGCTCACCGGCTGTGTCGAGACTGTAGGTTGCAGCCACAGTGGGCTGAAAAGGATATGTCACTGCAGGTGGCAAGGCTGTAAAACAGATTTACAGACCTGGGCCAAAAACTGGGCATGAGATTCTAGCTGTAGATTATAAAAATATTTGTATAGCTGTTATAGGTTATACATCGACTTCATAGATTATTTAGATTTTACATGGATTATAAATTTTAAACATTATGTAGTCAATTTTGAAGATTTTTTAAACATATACTGGCCAGGTCAAAATAGAGCATGATTTACAATAGGCTCTAGGCTCCAGAATATCTTGTAGTTTCTATTTTTCTGGAACATGGGAAATGCTTTTGCTTTCTATGGCAGAAAGCAGGAAAAAAAAAAAAGAAAAGAAAAAAAAGAAAACCACAAAATTGTGCAGTTATGATGGCAGAACAATCATGAGAATGGAAAAAGGTGCATTTCCTCAAGGTATAAAGGCACTTGGTGAACTGTTTGAAAATGTGCAAGGTGAGAAGAATAGCACCTTTCACCATGAGTCTTCATAAGAATCTAACACAAGTTGGCTTGTTGGTCTGTACTAGAATTTATGCACTTCTCTGTTCTTTGGCATCATCTTGAAACTTGAGCCCTTTTGAATGTTATCAGGATTGTTCAAATACTCATGAAGATGCTGACATTTTGCTTCATGAAAGCTTTTTTTCGTGAAAGTTCTGAGTGAAAGGAATAAATAACTACAATTAATTCTAGGCTTATACAGCCCTTTCTGGATGCAGATGTTAAAATGGTGTAGCATAGCAAGGTGAGATGACATACCCAGAGTCCTATGGCAGAGGTGGCAGTGAAAGCCAGGCTTCATCAGTTGCACTCCACTGAGTTGCATGATTGCTTAAATAGCCAATAACTTACAGTTTTCTTTTAAAGAAAAGTGATTAAATGTGTGTAGCTGCTAGTATCAGCCAGTGTTTTCATTTAAATCTTATTTTGGGTCATAAAAATATAGAAGTAATACGTAGCACTCACTGGTTTCTATATTTATTGATGTTACTGGCAATATTAAAGTTGTCTGAGATAAAACTGACATGGGAAAGTGGCAATCCTACAGAAGAATCTTAATTGTCTGATTGTAAATATTTGTTAGACAAAATTGGCGAAGTATATCCAACAGTCATGCCTAAATTTCATGTTTGAAAAAGGCCAAGAAGTTGCAATGGAAAGTTTTTTTTTTTTTTTTTTTCTTTAATTGTGTAGTGAAAGAACAGCGGTGAATTAGGTGGAGTTTGGGGCATTTTTAGGACGAGTACAAATTAAATTTCATATTTATTAAGAAACTAACTAGAGCTTGGCTGTGGTCCTGGAAGGTAACAGGTCACAAAAAACAAAGTAGGAACTGTAGCAAACACATCATTGGGGAACTGAGTGCCGGCAGCAGCGCCCGTGTCTCAGCTTGGCGTGGAAGGTACCTTCTTGTTGTGTGGTCGATTCTGCCTTGAGTGTTGCAACACAACAGGCAAGTCCTTCAACACAACAGCATTTCACAGATGGAGTGAGGAGCTACTTGCAATTGCAAAAAATACTGTAGTACATGTAAACATTTCATGTTACGTACTGCTTGAATTAATGGTGTTAGCAGGAATGAGCTCTCAGGGAAATTCCAGCCCTAAATCCTACTTTGAATCAAAATAAAGTTATTGTGCATACCGTAAGATGAGGATGGTAATTGTTTCATTATTTGTAGATCTAAAATTGCCCAGCTTAGGGGCCCAAGTCAATGGAAGTGATATTAAAGGCCTGGTTATTTCACTTCAGTGAAAGCTTATTTATTTACATGCAAGACAACAGCCATGTTTATACACACATAACAAGCTTTTTAGCATGAGCTTGATTAGTTTTTGACTGGCTTTGCTTCTCTGCTCATTTATTTTAGTACTTCATGTAGACACCACGTTTCCTCAGGTTTAAATGCAAACAGATTCAGAGGGGGTGAAGCAGCATTTCCCTGACTTCCACGAGGTGCCATGCATAATGCAGACTGTCAGGAGTTCCCTTATTTTATTTTATTTTATTTTATTTTATTTTATTTTATTTTATTTTATTTTATTTTATTTTATTTTATTTTATTTTATTTTATTTTATTTTATTTTATTTTACCCCCAACATTTTTGATTGTTCATATGTTGTTCATCTATCTGCTCTGGATGCCTTTGCACAGGTGTCTGTGGGGGCATGTGCCTGCTCTTGCTGGTTTGTCCACTGCACAGCTCACACTCCATGCTTGTGCCTTGCCCATGGTCTCCCATACACAGGAGGAGATGGAGGGGCTCTCATGCTAATGTGTACAGTAATAAATTTAGCTTTTTACCCACTGAGATTGGCTTGCACCTTTTTGGTGGCCTCCAGTTGCTTGTGGAGAGTGTAGCAGGGGAGGAGGCTGCTTTGCTTCAGCCCAACTACGCCTGTGCTGGTTGAGCTCATGGTTTCATAAGCACTGGCAGCAGTTCAGGAAGGAAAAAGGTGGTCATGGCTGGATTGTTCTGGGGAGTGCTCTCCCATGCACAGTCCCTTCAGCTGCCAGGCTGCAACCATGCATGGGTGCAAGGTCCTGTTCAGGTGTGGTGGATTTATGCATACATAAACCAGGGGAAAATTGACATACACTGCGAATGAAAAACTGAAGTGTAATATAGCACAATAAATATTATATTATCACAGAATCACAGAATTTCTAGGTTGGAAGAGACCTCAAGATCATCGAGTCCAACCTCTAACCTAACACTAACAGTCCTCCACTAAACCATATCCCTAAGCTCTACATTTATTATACCACAATAAATATTCGATTAATTATAGTAGTACTACATTTGAACTAACTTTGATCCGTATTGTTTTAGACTAAGTGCACAGAAAGAAAAAAGTGGTTTGTGCTCAGAGGATGTCAAGAAGGGGATGTGTCAGGGGGTGTCAGAATGGATGTTGGGGCAGCTAAGTGGAGCTAATTGTGGAAATGGTTCGCAAAGCAGAGATTTTGCATTCATATTTCTCTGTGACATGTTTAATACAGGAGATGGACTTGTATCTAAAGTTATTTAACTAGACATTAAGTTTATTTCTGAGCTGAGCCTGTCCCTATGGTATTCAAGCTCTGATTTGTATAAAATGAAGTTTGTAGCACTATTCTACGGCTTTTGCGCTCCTGTGGCAAAGAACTGATGTTATGAATGCTATGGATGTCCCTTACATGGCAAGACACTTTTCTCCAAACCTTGGATTTTTGGCAGTATTGCAGACAGGAGAAGACCAAGCAGAATAGCACACACATATGTTGGTTTTTGCTTACCCAGAGGGTTCCTGCCTTTCAGTATGTGCTTCACATAATGTCTATTTGCTCTTTGTCTAAAAAACAAGGGTTTGAAAACTGTCTTTAGCTTTCAGGAGAAATATTGTGAAGACAGTTCTTCAGTTATTGAGGTTACAGTTTGTCCAGGCTTTGAACTGTCTTTTTCTGAATCCTGCTAAGTGCTAGACTTGAAAAATCTTCACTTAAGCAGAGGCTGTCTGCATGGATGGTGCTGTTCCCTAACACTGGTTCAGGGGCAGAAGCTTTAAAATACAAAGTTGTTAGTTTTTTGTTTGTTTAACTTCATATTTCATTTATAATTAAAACAAACAAACAAACAGACGAACCCAAGTATTTTTACGGTGCATTTGGACATACTGCTTGGAGAAGCCTTTTGACTTTTTCCTGTGACTGTACAAGTGTCTTTGAAGGAACATTTGTATTCCCCTACATGTAGTATTTGTCATTGCCTCACATATTGTTTGAGTGCTTAGAAAATATCTGAAGCAAACCAAGGATAACTGAAATTCACCTATATAGTGTAAACCACTGATTTCCCCTTTTTAGAAGGAGACACTTTTCCTTACTTAGGGCCTCAAACATTTAAGGCTTTAAATAGTGGGCCAAAACATACATTTAATGATTTTCCAGC